AAGACAGAGAACCCGACTCAGAGCCAATGCAACAGTGACAGTAGCCTGGAGGTGACCTCGCCCAACTCATCAGGACCAATCAGAAGATCAGAACTACTAGATTGAACCTACTTCATTTATTGCATAAAATGTCTGCACACAATGTTTCGGGGCTCTCTTCAGATAATAATAATAATAATAATAATAATAATAATATGCCATTTAGCAGACGCTTTTATCCAAAGCGACTTACAGTCATGCGTGCATACATTTTTGTGTATGGGTGGTCCCGGGGATCGAACCCACTACCTTGGCGTTACAAGCACCATGCTCTACCAGCTGAGCTACAGAAAGTGGATACTCATGGATGCGCATTGCAATTGTAAAATGTCAACACAATTGGAGACACCACGTCATTTTTGGAGACATGTTATTGACAGTAAACTATTGTAGATGCGACTGCTAACTAAATAAAACATTTTAGCTGGCTAGCTAATCATCTTAGCTAAATGTGGGGCAAACAATTCAGTTATTTACCGTTAATTTGAGGGATTGGGGTGAAAGAAATCGAGTTACATAGTGATACTTTACGATATACTGTATTGACAATATCGCAATATTTTAGCGCTAGTTGGCTGTACCTGCACCAAAACACCATTATTGTTCCTTCATAGCTTGTTCTCAATCTTTTCACATTGGGAGCCAATTAGTTTTCAGCACTTTTATTTCCATGACTGATCAAAACTCGTTCTCATGGCTTTCTGATCCCTCTGCAACAGACATATGGTGCGCAATAAAATCACAGTATCGAATCGCAATATGTATAGAATCATGAGACTCGCAATGCTGATGCATATATCTTATCGTGAGGTTCCTGGCAATTCCCAGCCCAAGTTCATTTGCCACAACAAATCTCTTCGCTAGCAAACGCGATGTCTTCTCCAAAACGACAATGTGTCTCCAGCAATGTTTACTTTTTTGACGTTCTATGGCATCTCCACTTTCCAAGCATATATGACCACATGTAATATTTTGGTAAGTGATGCAAATAGTGAACTATGTAGGGCCAGGATGTAAAATATATGTAGCTGCAGCAATTTCTCTTATCTGATATGGTAAGTAATGGGGCTTAATTTATAGCTCCCTAAGAGTTTGACGAACGGGTCCGTGAACGCGATTCCAGATATATTTACCTCTGAATAAACTGCCTTTATTACACCATATCCACATCCAGTAAACTTGTGATTATCAACACTAACCTCATCGTTGTGGCGGCGGACAGCTAGCCTGTATCCCTCGTCATCCAGTTGAGTGAGTGGCAATGTCTTTTTTCGTTCGTACCAATTTTTGGAAAATCCTCGGGTGTAGGACTTTCCGCCTTTAGTAGAAACCTGTTGAATTATTAAATTTGGTCTGGGAGGTCCTAATTGTTTCGTTGCCAATTTATCTTAATTTGTTCGCCGACAAAAAGGAACTTCTTTCAAAGACACAATCGAGTTGGACTGAAGCCTAGCCATTTTGATAGTAGTAGTGAATTGATTGAGGCTGCTAACTGGTCTTTTCTTAGTTACGTTCATTCGTGGTTACGTTATGTATGACGAAAGCGCGTAAGTGCAAGCCCACAGACACCCATAGAGAATGTATTGAAAGCTTTGAAATTTAAAAAAAATTGATTTTACATGACAGGCTATGAGAGACTTCTGGGCGATTTTCAACCTGACTGAAATCGCCCAAAAAACGGGCGGGGCCATTTGAAGCACGACTTTAGCCTGATTTGACATTTAGTGGCTGGCAGATCAGATGTGAACACTGATAACTGCTGTTGCCGTGATATAATTTTTTATAAATTTATTTAAAAAAAAATATTATTTTTTTTATTTATTTTTTATATAATTGATTAGAAAAAAAATCCCTTCCTTTTCCCGTTTGGCAGTGCGTCGCCCATATCGCCCTATTGAACAAGCCGTCCCTGGTCTGGACATGGAAATGCCCTCTTTCACGTTTTTCTCCAGTAGACTTTTGCTTGGGGTCTGTGAGGTAAAGGGGTTGAAAGGCTCTCGTCCTGGTCCATCTCGTTCTTTCTCATGCTTGAGCTTGCGTCATCCTGTGTGTCCATGCTGCTCTGGCTCTTGTCGTTGCTAGCTAGCATGCCTGCCGTCTTCCGTGAGACTTGGCTATGTCATCTTCTGTTGTCTTTCTGTCGTGTTCTGCACCACTCAACTTGAAAAAAACTAATTCTAAAAGGATAGGCGGGAGATTGACAGCCTGCCGTGCCGCTTTGTGGTCAACGACTCCCATTGTTAGAGTGGAGAGACATGTATCTTGTTAGTACAGTGAGGGAAAAAAGTATTTGATCCCCTGCTGATTTTGTACGTTTGCCCACTGACAAAGAAATGATCAGTCTATAATTTTAATGGTAGGTTTATTTGAAGAGTGAGAGACAGAATAACAACAACAAAATCCAGAAAAACGCATGTCAAAAATGTTATAAATTGATTTCCATTTTAATGAGGGAAATTAGTATTTGACCCCCTCTCAATCAGAAAGATTTCTGGCTCCCAGGTGTCTTTTATACAGGTAATGAGCTGAGATTAGGAGCACACTCTTAAAGGGAGTGCTCCTAATCTCAGCTTGTTACCTGTATAAAAGACACCTGTCCACAGAAACAATCAATCAATCAGATTCCAAACTCTCCACCATGGCCAAGACCAAAGAGCTCTCCAAGGATGTCAGAGACAAGATTGTAGACCTACACAAGGCTGGAATGGGCTACAAGACCATCGCCAAGCAGCTGGTGAGAAGGTGACAACAGTTGGTGCGATTATTCGCAAATGGAAGAAACACAAAATAACTGTCAATCTCCCTCGGCCTGGGGCTCCATGCAAGATCTCACCTCATGGAGTTGCAATGATCATGAGAACAGTGAGGAATCAACCCAGAACTACACGGGAGGATCTTGTCAATAATCTCAAGGCAGCTGGGACCATAGTCACCAAGAAAACAATTGGTAACGCACTACGCCGTGAAGGACTGAAATCCTGCAGCGCCCGCAAGGTCCCCCTGCTCAAGAAAGCACATATACAGGGCCGTCTGAAGTTTGCCAATGAACATCTGAATGATTCAGAGGAGAACTGGGTGAAAGTGTTGTGGTCAGATGAGACCAAAATCGAACTCTTTGGCATCAGCTCAACTCGCTGTGTTTGGAGGAGGAGGAATACTGCCTATGACCCCAAGAACACCATCCCCACCGTCAAACATGGAGGTGGAAAAATTATGCTTTGGGGACAGGACAACTTCACCGCATCAAAGGGATGATGGACGGGGCCGTCAAATCTTGGGGGAGAACCTCCTTCCCTCAGCCAGGGCATTGAAAATGGGTCGTGGATGGATATTCCAGCATGACAATGACCCAAAACACACGGCCAAGGCAACAAAAGAGTGGCTCAAGAAGAAGCATATTAAGGTCCTGGAGTGGCCTAGCCAGTCTCCAGACCTTAATCCCATAGAAAATCTGTGGAGGGAGCTGAAGGTTCGAGTTGCCAAACGTCAGCCTCGAAACCTTAATGACTTGGAGAAGATCTGCAAAGAGGAGTGGGACAAAATCCCTCCTGAGATGTGTGCAAACCTGGTGGCCAACTACAAGAAACATCTGACCTCTGTGATTGCCAACAAGGGTTTTGCCACCAAGTACTAAATCATGTTTTGCAGAGGAGTCTAATACTTATTTCCCTCATTAAAATGCAAATCAATTTATAACATTTCTGACATGCGTTTTTCTGGATTTTTTGGGTTTTATTCTGTCTCTCACTGTTCAAATAAACCTACCATTAAAAATATAGACTGATCATGTCTTTGTCAGTGGGCAAACATACAAAATCAGCAGGGGATCAAATACTTTTTTCCCCTCACTGTACCTCTGAGATGTGTTTTTGTTATACAGAAATATTACTTTTTAAATCTGAATTATTTATCTGTTTTCAAAGTAGTAGGCATGTTGTAAATCAAATGATACAAACCCCTCAAAAATCAATTTTAATTCTAGGTTGTAAGGCAACAAAATAGGAAAAATGCCAAGGGGGTGAATACTTTCGCAAGCCACTGTAGATATCATGATTATTATTTTGAAGATTGTGTGTAATGTGTAGTGAAATTGTTTCAATGAACCAAGCACCAGCCCATTCTTCAGTCCATGTAATGGCATTTTAGAAGAAGCATGGAGCTATTCTTCTTAGGTTAACTACTTTAAGTACATAACTGAAGACATCAATCTACCTTGTTTCCAGTGTGTTATGCTGCTGATTTTTGTTTTGAGGAAATGTTTACAGCTGATGATTTGCATTCATTAAAGATTAATTAAATCTTACTTGGCACACATTGCATTTGTATTCTTCCATTTATGTTGGTTTCAATAGGACTAAGTTAATACTATTTTAACATTCCAATACAGTCCTTTAAAATGGATATCATGTCAATTTGGGAAAATATGTAAACTAAGTAAGACTGAGTTGAAATAACCTATGTAGACAGGAGATCTAATGATAAAATAATTTTAATACAATGCATCTTATACAGAAACTATAGTTCTTGAATGTACAAACAAATAGGGAAAATTGAGTAGTTAACGGTAGTAAACCTTGTTAGTTAGGGGGCATGTACTGACGTTTATTCTATTAAGAGCAGATGTTTGACAAATAAAGATAATTGATATATTGATGTACAGTTGGAATGTCAAATACAAAGATGATGATTTAAATGAAAAACACACTGGTAGAAAACCAGACACCCTTGAAAAACAAAATAAACATTTTCTAAATATGTCCACGTCATCCAGTGGAGTTAACACTATTAGAATTATTATTTTACAAGTCCATTGGGTTGGTGAAAAATGTCACATTTGTGAAGCTGAGCTCCCTCTGGTTCTCAAAGCCTCTATAGGCCCATATACTGTACAATACAAATCAGTATACAGTGTAAGCCTAAGCATGTGCGCATCACTGTGCTCCTTAGGGCAATAGGCAACATTCTCCATGCAAAGTACCCTCTCGTAGTGTAGGAATGCATTCTTCCCTCAGTAATGGGACGGTCCAAAATCATATCAACCCAACAGTTATGGCCAGCATCTCCCCATTAGCCATTTTTCTTAGCTCTCCCCTCAGGGAAGTGTGTACACACAAACACACAAGAGCTGCCATTGTGCAAGTCTATGGTGAGGGGCATAGCCACATGACATACAGCCATGCTCTCACTCCCTGGTATGGTGGCAGCTGAGCTCAGTCCTTGGCGTCGCCCACCCCATCTGCGTTGATGGCAAACATGGCTTCAGACTCTGGAAGGCAGGGCGAGTCGTAGATTTTGCAGATCCTCGTTTCCCCACGGCCTTTCCTCAAGTACAGTCTGAAAACAAGGAGCGGTTTTAGCTTGATAGCTAGCTGTATTCTTCTAGAACCCAGGGGCTTAACAAGTGGTATGCTATGTTTGAAAAAATTTGAATGTGACAAAGAGGGAGTAAGAAGGGGTCAATGGAGTCACTCACCGCGTAGTGGAGGCATGTGCCATGATGTTGCCCCCGATAGGTTTTTTAGGGTCTGCCGAGAACATGGCAGCACCGTCTACCTGGGCCACCACCTGATTGGTTATCACCACGGCAACGCCATACTGTGACAAGGCGCGAGACAAAAATGTTTTTAGCGTTATGACCATACCATGAAGAGAGTTGTGCACACACATAAAATTGATCTACAGAGAAGGGTTCAGAATGTTGCTGATAAACATATTGCATTAGACCGACACCAGCGCAATAGATAAGGAGTTCGGCGAACAGACAAAGCCCCTGTAATTCTAGCCCTGACCTTACCTCGTCTGCTAGCCTCAGCAGCATTCTCAGGAAGCGTCCCAGGTGGCCTTGCCGTGCAGCGAGCTCTCCCCTCCCGGAGTAGTCAGTCCTGTAGAGGGCTGTGGCACTGTCCACTATCAGCAGGGCATACCTGAGAGAGAGAGAAGGGGCCACATGGTTAGAGACCTATAGCGTTGCAGACTGGGTGACCATAGGGGTACTTTACTAGGATTTCCTTGAGGGTGTCCTTATTCCAGATCACCAACTCATGTTACAAACAATACTATTAACATGGAAGGAAAGCAAGGTATGTGAGAAATGGAAAAACATCTGAAGGATCGGAAACTTCACGAAGAGGGAGGGAGATGGGCCTGACCTGGACTCTGCCATCATGGCTGAGGCTTGGTAAAGCAGCTGGGTCTGGTGGTCTGTGTTAAAGGCCCTAGCGTAGGCTACGTTGTCCAGAACGTCACTCCCAACAAGTCCATACCTAATAAAAGACACAACAGTACATTCTAGTGTGATACAGCTTTTTGAAGGAAGTACTGCATTTGCAATGGTAACTCTCTGAACAGACAGAAATTGATGCCTGTTATTCCTGTAGTGGAATAGTGTTGCTCCAAATTTCTATCTGTCAGTGTCATATAACCCAGTAGCTACTCCATTGTTATTGTGTTAGTCCATGAGAGAACTCACCTCTCTGCTACAGCCAGTAACCTCTCTGGCCTGAAGGTCCCCTCTGTGTCAATGTACATGGCTTTGCCCTCTCCACCACCCTGGTCAATGGGCAACTGAGTTGGGGAAAAGCACAAAATCAAAAAATTGAATGTCCTGAGTGCTATCGTCATATGCTGTGAGCAGATGTGATTGGTATGAGATAAGAGTGTACAGCAAAGTCTTCCTTTATTAGTGTGAAAAAGAATGGCACCATGACCAGTACCTGACAGGTGACTGCAAGGGTGTGGCACAGCTGTGTCTTTCCTGTCCGGAACTCTCCAAACATTTCTGTGATGGAGCCTGTCTCTATCCCACCTGAGAGAGAGAGAAAAACTTTTTCATACTAACGATAACGACAAATACAACTGGGCAACTCAAAAAACGTGTCCTGAGTCATAAACAATGGTTCTAAAATCTAGGTAACTGCCAACGATCCCAGCCTCACCCTGTAGCAGCTTGTCCAGCTCTTTAGACCCAGTGGAGACCTGGATGATTTCAGCTCGGCGTTGGTGGAACTCTGTTGCTGTGGTGAAGCCCATGGGCACTAGTTTGGCAGCTTCAGCCTGGAGAAAATACCATAGAGGTAGAGGAACATCAGCCACAGTCATTATATCAGGCCTAATGTCAACTGTGGGCAACCCAAAATGAGCAGAAAATAAAAACTCTGATTGGTATATGAAGGTGACCTAACCAGGACTTTGTCTGCTTTGGCCTCACTGATCCCCTTGATGTTAAGCAGCTCCTTCTTGGGGGCATAGGCCACTGCCTCAATGGTGTGGAAGCCTGCATCCTCCAGTTTCTTTATGTCACTGGCACTGATGCCACATTGCTGTGTAGGAGACATTGCAAATGACACTACCATCATGCATTTGATGTGAAGACGGAACATTTGAATATTAATCAGTTCTGCCTAGTACGGGGAATTGCCTGTCATTATCAGCCAAACATAGCTAATACTGTACCCCTGATAAATTAGGAATAAATGCACCAACACCTACCTCAAGTCTGCTCAGTGGCTGTGGTCCAAAACTCTCCTCTTCCTCTACCTCTGCCTCCACCCTGGCCTCGCTCCTCACAGCCATCTTGATTTATGGACAGGTGAGGTACGTCTGTCAAAGGGGAAAATATTTGAAGGTGCATGGGTGCAAGAGTTATAACTCTATAGCTAGTAAACAAGTATTTTTCACAGTGGACAAAACAACTGCGAGGCAGATAGTACTTTCCATTGTGTTAGTTACTGAGACACACTTGATCAAGACAGGGTTGCTTTCTCATTGGAATTGAGAAATTATTCTAACTACCAAGAGATGTTACACAACCGGAAATTGAAACTAACTACACTAGTAACTGGTAAAGTTGTTGATGTTGACCTTTCCAGCTTTCAGTCTGTTCAGGCATCTAGTTATCAAACAATTATTGACTTACTAAGTGAAAATATAAGATTTAACTAGCTAGGCCACCTAGTAGGTGTTGTATTTCTGGTTTACTGGTCTTGCAGTCTTTGCATTTGATTGATATTCATTAAAGGTAGGTAACGTTCGCTAGCATTAGGCTAATTTGTTCTGCTGAGATACTGAATGACATGATCTGGCATGTCTGTGAGTGACTTGGCTTACGTCCATATGTTTAACTCAAAATAGTACCTAGGTCATGTTAATTTTAAGTTATGGGATAGGATTTATCCAATGTTATAATAACAGCGTCCACTTACCTCTAGTTTTTCTTGCTTGAACCAAAATCTCCCGCTCGCTAGTCAACGTACTTGTTTAGCAGGCTACGTAATTACGCTAACCCTTCCCTCGAGCGCTGGGATTGGACATTGTTGGGCTGCATCTCAATGATAAACATGTACTTCCTTTCATTCCCTTGATCTGCACCTGGAAAAACAATATACGGAAGCAAGGAAAATATAGTGGTCAGTGAGCACTATATAACCTATGCGTTTGCTATTTATAAAAACGGTTGGCTGCTATGCCCTCACCCGTCTGGGCAGTAGGCTGTGAATTCCCTCACCCACTAGTATGCTGACTGTGATTTGGGTTCTGACCCTCCACAGGATGTCCGGTAAGACCAATGCTAATGCTTCTCTTTTCAGGGTTGTTATTTCCTTTTCCTCTTCACCAACACACATTAACCACACACACACTTTTGGTCATATAACATAAATCTTGACTGGGAGTGAATCTTGGTGGACTGTACTTGTGTTAATCCAAATGAATTGTGGTTCTATAAGGCAAAAACATGCACAACATAACAGTATCAGTAAAGTGTAATACTTATGCAATATAGATAGGCTATATCAACATGAATGAATAAGCATAATATTACACTATTATAATACAGCTATAAACAGGGCTAATAACTTAGCAGCATAAACATTAACCTAAAGATGAACCTCTTGTCGGAGAGAGAGAAACCAATTACTGAGACTGACAAGATAAATATGTATGGCACCCTCTCTCTCCCGCCTGGTGCGAGAGCCTGCCCCGCTGAGGTCTTATCTGATCTGCCCTAGCGCCACAAGGGTCACAATTACTACACATTACAAATCAGAGAAGATGAAGGGGAGGAGACAACAAGAGGCCACTTGAGACTATTGAGATGCAGCCATGTGAGCATAACAGTAATTTCACTCAGGGGGTTCGATTAATCCCATCCGGGTGTCCGTGTAGGCGTGTTTTCTATCGGCTGAAAGTTGATTGCATTCGATTTGGAACCGGGCTGCCTCCCGGCGTGAGACAGGTGCCCCGTTCAAAGCACACGCCAAAGTCGGCTCAAAAACAAAAGTGACGTAATAAAGCAACGTGTAGTAATTACTAGGATTCTGTGGTTTCTCATGCAAAAGGGTTTGCTTTTGATAAAAATGCTTTATCTGCCTTCCCAATGAAAACTAGTTAGAACATTCATTTTATGGAAAAGATATGCATGTTTCTAGACGAAGCACTATGCTGCCTTCTTGACAAAATGATTGAGCAGCGCAGATTACTGTTCGATTTGAGAAAGCGTGCCTCTCTCCCTGCTTTCACCCGATTACATAACGGAACTATGCCCGGTGCCGCGCAGCGCAGCATAATCAAATCCGCCCGATGTAAAAATCCTGTTAACTTCCCATACTATGAAATTATATGTACATATTTGTATGATGGCCAGATATGATATGTAACCCCCATTTGTTCACAAAGAGAGTACTGAAGAGCCAAGGGTACACTGGTCTAACATATATACAATTGTTATCATACAGAGGAGAAAACATGGGTAAAAGTTGTAACATTTTAATAATGATTCAGGCAATAAACAAAGACAAATGTTCATGTAGTATTCAAGCGTTTTTCAGTTATTGTAATTCTCGCCATAGTTTTGCTAGAGGCAATACATCAAAGATGGTTTGTAATGGCCAACTATTACAAAACATGACTATTGATCCCTTATGAACAACAATTATAAAAATCATCAAAACTTATGGTAGAAAACATGTCAAATTAACACAAAAGAAAATGGGATATTGAACATTATTAATAAATGGAATTGACAAACATATACATATTTTCATTCACTACATGGAATGTAGCACCACAACAGCCATTGACTGGAACTGGTCTCAGCACAGCAGACTTTCATGGATCCTCTTGACAATCTTGGTCAAGTAGTTCTTGGCTGGTGTTACTGATGATACAATGTCCTCCACCTGGTCTCTCCTGTATAGAATAAACATGAATTATTAAAGGTGCCTTGTTGCAACAATGTACAAATAAGACTAGAAACAAAACACAGGTGTGTGCGTGAGAAGACAAACATTAAGTCTTACGTTGCGTTTCCAATGTGATTTCGGAAGTTTTGCACATGAAGGAGACCGAAGGGGTAGGCGTAGGTAACAGCTACAGTCATCTCAAACTTGGCAAATGACTTGAGACTGGAGAACAGGATTCGAACTCTGAAATAGAGGACAAAAAATAAGTAGTTTTGCATTCAGAAAGCTGTTATATGTAACTATATCTATTAAATTCCCTAGAAAGGACAGTCCCATTTAAGTCAACATTCTCTGGTGGTCTGATGGGGATGTGTCCAGTCTAAGAGTTGTATTTCTATGGTGTGTGATCTTACTGTGTGTCCACACAGCTGATGTCCAGGATGTCCAGCCTCAGAGCGCCCCACTTCTTCATCAGGTGGATCTCTTCTCCCAGGAGGCGACAGCGGCTTACCACCAGACCCACATCGTGCAGCAGCTGGAGAGCGAGAAACAGACAGATATTATTTAGCCAAAACTGAACCGCTGAACATGCAATGTGATTCTAGGAGATACATTTAAAACACCAACCCTTTTTCTGGACTTCACGTCGTGTGGATCGTCCTTTAATACCCATTTAACCAAGCCTCACACTTACCTTGGGAATGTATCGACTGGTGGGGTACTTCTTGAACCAAGTGGTTTCACTGCCAATGTACTGGCATAGCAGATTGTGTACAAGCCGAGAGTAGCACTGTGACTTTTCATCTGTAAGAAAGAAAGGTGAGTTGGCAAGAGTCCTGTGTGTGGCGAGAACCAAGAAAAGATTCTACATTAAAGTGTCAGAGCTTAATTTCTCCCCACCATCCATTTGACGTTGAAATGTGATGTCCATGATGTTACGCTCAGTCTGTTCACAGACCTCTCCTCCTAAATAAGAGAGCAAAGCATTGAAAATCATTGATCTTAAAGAAAATCACTTGTCTTAATGCAACCCTTTGAAAGAAACTGCAGAGCAAAACTACTATAAACATACTAGCACCTTGGGTGCAAGGAAAGTTATACTATCAATGAAAATATATAATCACTACATCTTACCGTTAGGTTTCTCAAACTGCACCTCCAACAGCAAGGACTCATAGAGAAAGCTGTAGATGCTCTTCCTGTCATCTTTCTGCCCAAACTTCCATTCATTCACTCTGAAACCAAAAGAGGCAAAAATTGAAATTCAAAGTTGAATGGAATGGTAGGCGTATATGCAGGGGGGGGAAAAATGTATCCCTGTCTGGAAAATGAGAAACTGACCTATCCAGCATGGCAATGTGGTTCTCAAGTTCCAGAGTTTCCTTTCGGAGTCTGTCCACTTTGTCCACAGAGTTTATCTTCTGTAGTTTCAATTCACACATTTGCCTGTGGAGAAAAACAAATGGTTTCCATTTCTCTGCACATCCAGCGGAAGTGAGTAAAGTCATACAAATTAAAATCTCTATAGAGACCGTAGCTCTGGCGACGACAAAGAAAAACTGAAATGGACTAAATCCAATTTATTTGCACTAAATTATGAGTCAAGCAATGTAGACTTACCTTTCACCTTCAGCAATTGCTTTGTTGACATTCTCCAACCCTGATAGAACATAATTCAACATTAACATGTCAAATAGCAAGCACACCATTGATTAATAAATAAAAAAGTGAACCAAAAAGAAACAGAAGATTGTGGCGTCATATGTTACCTTGCTGCCTTGCTTTCAAGGTCAGCTCACTGTCCTCTACCCCGGTGCCCTCCACAGCTGCAAGTTCTGTGGCAAACAGAAGACAAAAGAAGCATGACAAAACCTCTGAAAATTCTTAATCGATTCCCACCTCCAATAACCCAATTATCTTAAGAGGATGACAAGCATGCATTGTGAAAAATAATATTAGGTCCCTTGGTTCAAATTGAATTACAATAGAGAATACTAAAGGGTCTAAAGGAGATTAACTAAAATCCAATATACCAGCTTCCAAGTCATGTAGACATTCATCAAGGTCTTTCAGACATTGATCTGTCTTCTCAATATTTCCTCTCAAGTTATGTTGTGCCTCCTGTGAAGATGTAATGGGACATCAATGAAACAGTTTATTAGGCGAGTTACACACACAAATGTGGTAAGCATATGTCTTTTTCAGTCAAAGGTTACTAGCAACATAGTGAAGGGATTCTCGTTCTCATCAAGGGTCTTACCCGAGTTGTGTGCACAAGGTTGGAGTACAAAACGGCTTTCATTTCATGAGATCGGACTTTGCTTCTCTTTCTGAAGAATGTCATCCTCTCTTTCAACTTGGCACCAAAAAGCAGCAACTAGGGAAAATAAGCCACAACATCAAGATGGGTTGTCCAAATGGATCATTTCTGCATCAAACTTTGACTGGAAATAGCAAGAGGAAAATCAACAAATATCCAAAGAAAATAAAAAGACAGGGAGACAGGCAGAAAGTTAAATACCTCTTCATCTGAAAAGCCCTTCACCGCCTCCCAAAGTGTTCCATTAACACTTTTCAGAAGATTGTCTTGGTCTCTCAGATGTGCTTTCAACCTGAAATCAGAAAGTACACCAAAGGGATGAACATGCTACATGAAATAAAATGCTATGTAAAGCGTGAGAATGAGTTGGCAATGACATGTATAATTAAACATACCCCTCCACCATTTCTGTGAGTATCTGGCAGTCTGTCTCATACACCCTCTGTTTGGGACGGTTGATATGCTTCTCGATTAACAAGTCCTCTGTTTTGCGATCCAGATCTGACACAATCTATAAGGAGTGGAAAATCTGTATTTAGTACCTACAGTGGGGAAAAAAAGTATTTAGTCAGCCACCAATTGTGCAAGTTCTCCCACTTAAAAAGATGAGAGGCCTGTAATTTTCATCATAGGTACACGTCAACTATGACAGACAAAATGAGGAAAAAAAATCCAGAAAATCACATTGTAGGATTTTTAATGAATTTATTTGCAAATTATGGTGGAAAATAAGTATTTGGTCAGTAACAAAAGTTTCTCAATACTTTGTTATATACCCTTTGTTGGCAATGACACAGGTCAAACGTTTTCTGTAAGTCTTCACAAGGTTTTCACACACTGTTGCTGGTATTTTGGCCCATTCCTCCATGCAGATCTCCTCTAGAGCAGTGATGTTTTGGGGCTGTCGCTGGGCAACACAGACTTTCAACTCCCTCCAAAGATTTTCTATGGGGTTGAGATCTGGAGACTGGCTAGGCCACTCCAGGACCTTGAAATGCTTCTTACGAAGCCACTCCTTCGTTGCCCGGGCGGTGTGTTTGGGATCATTGACATGCTGAAAGACCCAGCCATGTTTCATCTTCAATGCCCTTGCTGATGGAAGGAGGTTTTCACTCAAAATCTCACGATACATGGCCCCATTCATTCTTTCCTTTACACGGATCAGTCGTCCTGGTCCCTTTGCAGAAAAACAGCCCCAAAGCATGATGTTTCCACCCCCATGCTTCACAGTAGGTATGGTGTTCTTTGGATGCAACTCAGCATTCTTTGTCCTCCAAACACAACGAGTTGAGTTTTTACCAAAAAGTTCTATTTTGGCTTCATCTGACCATATGACATTCTCCCAATCCTCTTCTGGATCATCCAAATGCACTCTAGCAAACTTCAGACGGGCCTGGACATGTACTGGCTTAAGCAGGGGGACACATCTTGCACTGCATGATTTGAGTCCCTGGCGGCGTAGTGTGTTACTGATGGTAGGCTTTGTTACTTTGGTCCCAGCTCTCTGCAGGTCATTCACTAGGTCCCCCCGTGTGGTTCTGGGATTTTTGCTCACCGTTCTTGTGATCATTTTGACCCCACGGGGTGAGATCTTGCGTGGAGCCCCAGATCGAGGGAGATTATCAGTGGTCTTGTATGTCTTCCATTTCCTAATAATTGCTCCCACAGTTGATTTCTTCAAACCAAGCTGCTTACCTATTGCAGATTCAGTCTTCCCAGCCTGGTGCAGGTCTACAATTTTGTTTCTGGTGTCCTTTGACAGCTCTTTGGTCTTGGCCATAGTGGAGTTTGGAGTGTGACTGTTTGAGGTTGTGGACAGGTGTCTTTTATACTGATAACAAGTTCAAACAGGTGCCATTAATACAGGTAACGAGTGGAGGACAGAGGAGCATCTTAAAGAAGAAGTTACAGGTCTGTGAGAGCCAGAAATCTTGCTTGTTTGTAGGTGACCAAATACTTATTTTCCACCATAATTTGCAAATAAATTCATTAAAAATCCTACAATGTGATTTTCTGGATTTTTTTCCCTCATTTTGTCTGTCATAGTTGACGTGTACCTATGATGAAAATGACAGGCCTCTCTCATCTTTTTAAGTGGGAGAACTTGCACAATTGGTGGCTGACTAAATACTTTTTTCCCCCACTGTATATTTATTGTGAGTATAAGTATTATCCTTTGTAATAATTCCTCAAAAGTGATTAGTACATTTGTTTTGTGCAAAATACAATTCTAAAGACAAAGGTTCAAGATTTACTCTCGCAGGCAGAATACTCTGTCGAGGTTTATGGATGACAAAGTCGATGCTGAAGAGTTTCAGGAACTCTGCCACTGTAACGGTGCCTTCTTGGAGTTTCTGAAATTAAATGTGAAAGAGCAGTGAAAACACAGTATAGCGGAAATGTTAACAGGAAAAGTAAATGTAAAAGGGAGTTGTTGACATACCTTCCGTACATCAAATGTGTAGTCCCCGGTGTCCTCAAGCTGGGACTCGAATTGGCTTTGTCTGTAAGCTGGAAAATGGCATGAAGTTAGTATTGCCTACCTAACCTAGACTATGCACTTGAAAAGGGATTAAGACAGACAAGGGGATAACGAATGTTTGAGTGAGACAGCAGAAATGAGAAGTAAAAGCTCCTCATAACTCACTTGACGACTCAAATGTGCCCTCACATCGGAGGTTGGAGTTGCTGCTGGAGCCATCAGCTGCAGCTCCTGTACAGTTACTGTCCCACTGAACTACCTGTGTAGGTGGCATCTGTCAAGATAAAATGTGAAAACAGACAAATCTATTAAATCGTATTGATTACATTTAACAAAATCAATGTTAACTGATTAAATGAAAAGAACTGAGCATTTACCATTTCTCTGATGTTTTCTGTTGATGGCTTACTCCTCTTTACCTCGTCCATGGAGTCTTCATGGCCCTCTTCTGGCAGGGATCTCTTCTGACATTGGGTAACAGTTAGGACTGGCTCTTTAAAGACCTCATGCTCCACAACATCCTCAATCACCTTGCCTTGGAAAATATTTTCCTTGACGTCGACCCTCTGAGGAGACTTTGTGTCCACAGTTTCTGATAAGTCCTCTTCACTGCTAATGTCTGGAAGCACTTCATCATCAATGTTGTCCATCAAGATGTTGCTCCTCAGTTCATGAGTGCCACCCAAGCTATTCTTCTTCAGAAGTTTCGCAAAATCTGTCACGCTATTGGACTCAGTCTGGTTTGATTCAGAGGGTTTAGCCATTTGTGGGAGTTTGGGCAGGAAACCACCAAATGACAGTCGTGATGCAAGGCATTTACTCCTCAATTTCAAAGGAGCAGTCATTTTAGGTTTGTCATTGTGAATATGGTCCTCCAATTCAACGCTTGCTGGTTTCTCAGTCATTAATCCCATGGTTTTAGACCCGTAGTCTACAGCTGTTAAGGATTCTGTCTCTACACCGTGTTTGTCGGAGGTCCTCGCCAGGTGAGATAAAGGTGCAGTGCAGCTACCCATCACTTCAGTGGATTCATTTATCATGCGGCTCATATGATTAAGTTTCAACTGCAGATCTGCCAAACTCATTCGCCTGGTCTTAGCATTCTTGGAAAGTACGTTATCATCTTCTTTTGAGACTGAAGAGGCAATGGGAGAGCTTTCTGGTTTGTTAGGAATAAAGGAGCAGTCTTCATCTTTCAGATCAGGATCCTTTCTGTCTGCCAATCCCTTTAGGTCAAAGTGTTCTGTAAGGTTAGTGGGGATTTCTCTAGGATGACCCTCAGGTAGACACAAGGAAATTGCATTTGTGGTGGATGAAGTGCCCTTCACATCTTTCACATTGGTAGGTGCATGTTGTTCAATTTGCGTTGTGACAGCCTTGGTCATCTCCATTTCATGATCCTCAGAAAACATTTCAGTTTCGTCTCTGGCCATTTTCTTCTCCTCCAGGTTAGAGGGTACAGCTACAGGATTATTTCTACAACGTGTCGCTTCTACTACTCTTTTCACTTCCATATCACTTGCCTGATTAATTGACACCTTTGTCACATTCCCTAATGGAGCTTTTGTTTCGGGGGAAAACGTCATGTTAATAACTTTGGATTCAATTGCAACAGTCTGGCTCCTTGTCAGTTCCATTTCATCAGAGTCAGAAGATCTAGGTGCCTTTCTACTGCAGAGGCTTTCAACACCTAACTGAAACATAATCTCACCATGTGCACTCTGCTCTGAGTGAGGAACCATCTGCAGGGTCTTACTCACACTGGATAAACATTGCCTTGCTCTGAAAGGGTCACGATTCCCCATCTTAATGTTTTCAGACTCAATTACAGCGGTCTGACTTCTCGTCATATCCATATCATCTGAATCCGATGACCGATGTTGATCGGTTTTGTGACCCACTCCCACAAAATGATTGCCCTTTTCTCCAGTGAAATGTGTCTTTGAGATTGTGGACGTCCTAGCCAAGGTCTCATCCCCATGGGCAGAATGTGACACATTTGCTAATATCTGTGCAGTGAGAGCTTGAGTCATCTCCATACAATTGTCGTCTTCCCCAATAAGTGTTTTATTTGAATCCAAAAAGCTGACAAATCTTCCTCTTCCACCTTGGAGTGAAGGAGTTGCGACACCAAAACCTCTGGTGTCAATGACCCCAGTTTGGCTCCTTGTGATTTCCATGTCATCTGTACTAATTTCTGCTCTAATCAGGCTCTTCTCAAATGTTTCCTTTTGGTGTTTTGTTATGGGGAGCAATCTGCCAGTGGTCTCATCTGTCACATTCAGATCATTTCTATGATCTATAGACACAGTGAGAGATTTGGTCATGTCCATACCACAGTCATCCTCTGATATACGACTTGGTCTGTTGGAAGCTGACACGAAGGATATACTTTTCCTTGTAGTGTTTTGCATGTGATTGACAACATTGAGGCTTTTGGTGTCGATGGCAACAGTTTGACTTCTAGTTATTTCCATGTCATCAGGATCCGATATGGCTACGGAAACACTGATCGCGCTGCCTTTTACCTGATCCAGCGCCCTCTCCACACTGTTAGCATCGTCTGAGAAATTGCCACATTCCATAGATGGTGGCACATAGGATAGACCAAGGTCAAACTTGGTCTTGGATTTGCAAAGAGAAGGCTTCTCCATCACACAATATTTGGAATCAATTACAGCAGTTAGGCTTTTTGTGATTTCCATGTCATTAGGATCAGAGGATGCAGGTTCCCATTCTTTATTACGTCTCTGTCCTGAAGTCATCTCCATGTTGGTACTCCGATCAGAGTGAAGGGACATCTCTGGTGTGGGGAACAAGCGCTGTAGTGGCTCATTAATTGCTGTATGGCTGTTTGACACAATATTTCCAGTGAGGGCCTCTGTCAGATCCATACCATTACAGTCTGACAAAAACACACCTCTCTGAGAAGATGGCATGCAGGACAAACTTTTCCTTGTATTCCCTAGTAAGGGAATTTCCATTAGGCCTACACTTTTGGAATCAATGGCAACGGTTTGACATCTTGTCATCTCCATGTCATCAGAGTATGGGTAGGAGGTGCTATGAAAGGTCTGTTGATTTGACTGAAAGGAGGAGATTCTGTTTTCCGGGGGAAACATCCAGGGTGATGATTCACCTTTCTTGGTCGGAGCACACACATTCTCCCGGAGAGGAACATTGAGAGCTGCAGTTATCTCCATACCATGGTCATCACCTGAGAAGATCTGGGTTATATTGGGATCTGATGTGAAGGCCACACTTCTCCTTTCTTTTTTCAGAGAGGGATTAGGGCCAATCATCCCAATGGCTTTGGAGTCAATGGCAACAGTTTGGCTCCTGGTCAACTCCATTTCATCTGGATCAGTAGAGACAGATACCTGGCTGAAAGTGCTTCCTCTAAGCCGTTGCTCTTCAGAGCTTACAGTTTGCACACACTGAAAAACTCCTTTGCCATCTATCAAAGTTGTATGGCTTTTTGTCAGATCCATATGATCTTGTTCAGTTTGCATCGTAGACATATTCATGAACTGAGGCCCTTGCCTTTGAGGGATAATTGAGCCCACTGTACAGTCTCTCCGTGTTGTCGACAAAGCTGGAACCTGATTCTCTTTATCAACTCCTGACCTGCGCGCATTGAGCGCAGCAAGGAAACGTCTGTTGTCCGTTTTTTCTGGAGGGGATGCAGCTCTGTGGAATGCCACAGTAGTTGAGGATTTGGGAGTTATTGGATTACCCATGGAGCCACTTGACTTTGTTATACTGGCAAGGAAATTTTCAAACTCTGGATCTATACCTCTGTCTGAGGTGGAAGGGTTTTTAAAGAGGGCAGAATTCTCTGTTGAGTCCTGAAAACACCCAGTTTTACTTTTCTTCACTGAAAAAGTAAAATCCATGTTTCCACAGGTAGGTGTAGTCACATTGCTTTCATGTGGCAGAACAACTGATGATTCTGAATCATTGGCGATGAGTATTGTGTGACTGTGAGTCATATCCATAAATGCTGTGTCCTCTCCTGTGAACATCATTGTTTTCTCCCCATAATCATCCTGGTTGAACATGACATTTTCCTATTAGGAGAAACAATTACTTTAGCGTCTCATGAATGACAAAGTCCACAGCAGCATTGATTAACACAGTAAGAAGTGCACTGGTAAGGTCAATGAAAAAATTGTCAATGTACCTAGGTTTTTGGCAATAGTTAAAATACTATTCATATTATAATTGTATTGTTATGAATGTCTAAGTACCTATATAAACATTGGATGAATGTAGTTACACCAATTGAAAGACTAATTTAAAGAATAATCACATTTCTCAGTCATAGCTTACCTTATTTCTTTGTTGTGAAACATGGAGGGGAGCATTCAACAAGGTTTCCATGCCTACATTTACAAATGAAGGTGCATAACAGTTAAAGGCATCTTGGTGGTCACTGGGTGCATTATACAGCACCTACCTGAGAACGCACACAGAAAATCTACTTGATAACTAGATTTTAGGCCTACCTGTGATTGGTTGAGCCCCATCAATGGAACCCGTATGAATGATCATGTTTTCTGCCGCTGTTAAATCAAATTGCATGTCAGTTGTAAATACATTACATTAAAAAACATGGACATTATTGAAAGGTTGGATAAAATGAAAGTAAAAAACCCAATCGCACTCACTGTAACAGAGTTTCTATTGTCACATTTTCACTCTTTAGCAATAGCAAAACAAGTCACGTAAAACAGTTCAGCCAATGTGAAACACAAAGACATTTGTGACAGTCGCCTCACTTAAATAAGCAGTAATGTGAAGCATCATATGCTCTACATTGAGAAGAAAATACATGCAAAATGTCTCAAGCATACAGTAGGCTTACTTACTAGTTGTGAGGTTTTGTAGAGGACTCCGGACAGGGGAGACATTCTTCACATCTCTGATAATCAAAGGTAATAACATTGTTTATAAGAGTTTGTTATTTTCGTGGTATTGTAGTTTAAATTCAAAATGTGGCACAGCAAAAATGTTTTACTTTGAAAACAGTAGAACATCATTGGAAGTGGCGAAACTGACTCTTCTGGAGATCCTCTTCTCTACTGGCTTGACAACCTCCACCTTGTGAAGACAACAATACATTTTCAGTCAAGTGACATGTCAGAGACATTCAGAAGTTCCCCAACTGCTATCTATTTAGTCTTTACCCGACTCTCCTCTAGCTCTGGGCCAGTGAATTTGATAGATGTCCGTGGAACTTTCAGGATCTGATTAGATGTAGATAAAATATTACTTCAGGAGACGTTCTGTTGAAATGGTAGACAAAACACCCGCTAACTAAATAGTTTTATGAGTAACTGCTGTACTAACCGAAGAAATACGCCGTTTGGAGGATCCAACATGATCACTGCTGCAATTTAGAAAACAAACCCAAGCAGTTAACGTACCTAGTAATATTAACGCTATACTTGAAATACACATGGAGAAACGTAACAATAATAATTAGGTGGGTGCTTACATTTGTCCTATTTCACACATGTACAAGTGTGTATTATACACGTGTGAATTGGGATATTATTTTATTTTTTGCATATCCCACTCCCCCTAAGACACCCTCGGAGAGTGGGGTCATGGCCAGCGATAATTTCAAAGCATTTCCTGGGTTAATTTCCTGGATTAATAAAATTGGAAAGTTAGTGAACTACAATGAGGCCATCAACAAACATGTCACTCACTCCATCCTTGAAGCAGCATCAGGCGGCTCCATCTTCGCCGTCAGTTATGAAACAAATACATTGACAGAAACACGTTAACTGGCTAGTTAGTAATCGTCGTTCACATTGATAAGAGCACTCGATGTGTGAAGGATAAATACAAAAATCGACTTAACTAGCCACGTTTCCTAATACACTGAATGAATGACAATTAAAATACTTAGCTAGCTAACGTTAGCAAGAATAGTTAACGTTAGATGTGTCGCAAGTCAATCGGTAATGTTAGATAATTAACTTAGCCAGCTTGTTAAGTTGAACACATTCATGTTAAAACGTAGCAAACATATTACATTGTTAATTTACAACAAACCTACTGTACCGTGTAGCTACTATAGTTGTTCACGTCCAATTTTAAGATGCCAGCTATAAAGCGTCAAAGCAGTTGTTGGTTTTGAATTTAACCGCCCTCTCTTGAACATGCGCAGTTGGATAACCTTCTTTAAACTGTCTGGGTTGTGTGGATATAAACGTTATACTGCCACCCCCTGGACGTCAATAAATCTTCCTCCTTTTACAGAAAAAGCTGTAAATAAGTATAAACGTGTAAACACGCTGGACTGGATTTTCGCCCTACTTACTCCTAAACAATTTATATCGTCAGGGCCAGGACCAGTTTTTTTATTCCATTATTCCATTGATTCTGTTCCCAGTTTATGTGTAAACGAAACACAAAGGCAACAACAAAAATGTTGATAATTTTGAAGTTGGGTATTCTGTTCATTTGTTTGATCCAAAAACGCAAGTTGGAAGGGATCAAATCTGAACAACTGACAGGCAGACCCAAGGTGGTGAGGGTAGGCAACTACACCTCTGCCATGCTAACCCTCAACACGACTGAAGAAATTTGGCACGGGCCCTCAGATCCCTCAAGAAGTTCTACAGCTGCACAATCGAGAGCATCTTGACCGGCTGCATCACCGCCTGGTACGACGACGATGAGACTGTCTATAGAGAGGAGGTCAGAGACCTGGCAGTGTGGTGCCAGGACAACAACCTCTTCCTCAACGTCAATAAGACAAAGAAGCTGATCGTAGACTACAGGGAACGGAGGGCCAAGCACGCCCACATTCACATTGAGAGGGCTGTAGTGGAGCGGGTCGAGAGCTTCAAGTTCCTCGGTGTCCACCTCACTAAGAATCTATCATGGTCCAAACACAAAAACACAGTCATGAAGAGGGCACGACAATGCCTCTTCCCCCTCAGGAGGCTGAAAAGATTTGGCAGGTGCCCTCAGATCCTCAAAAAGTTATACAGCTGCACTATCAAGAGCATCTTGACTGGCTGCCTCACCACTTGGTATGGCAACTGCTCCGGCCTCAACCGGAAGGCTCTAGAGGTTGGTGCGGGCGGCCCAATACATCACTGGGGGTGAGCTCCCTGCCCTCCAGGACATCTACACCAGGCGATGTCTGAGGAAGGCACAAAATATCGTCAAGGACTCCAGTCACCCAAGCCACAGACTGTTCACTCTGTTACCTTTTGGCAAGCTGTATCAGAGCATCAGGTCTCGATCCAACAGGCTCCGAGACAGCTTATACCACCAGGCCATCAGAATGCTGAACAGCTAACTCTAGCTGTCTCCCTGCACAGACCTGCACCTTAGAGATTATTTGCACTAACTACCCACACATCCAACCCTTACACACAAATTTACACACAAACACACAAAAAACCCTAAACTCACACACTCACTCAGAACTCTCTCTCACACACAGTCAACGGTGCTGTTATATTATATACTATTTACTCTACTGCCTGACCAAGCCACTACCCACTCTATATTTGTAAATACAGTGTAAATACAGTCCATGCATACTACCTTTTCTATTACTTGTTATTTTTGACTTGACTCTTTTATTGTTAATATTGATTTTGATTAATGTACTGCATGGCTAGCACATACTCATTTTGCTGCACCTTTTATACCTGCTGTAATCTATATGAGTCGAATACAATTTGATTTGATTTTAAAGGGGGATCATTTTAATCTGAGAAGCAAGATTATTTTATGTTAAAATGCGCTCTCTTTCGGAATATTGTGGTAAGGTAAACAAATAACTAGTGTGCTGACGTAATTTCCTGTGGATGGAGGGGAACGAGGCGGTAGATGAACAGGCTAAACAAGCACTTAGTAGTGGGGATGTTGATGTTGATGTTGAAGTGTCAATGAGCAAGGCAGAGGCAAAAAGACTGATATATACAGTGATGGTGCAGAGATGGCAGGAGCAGTAGAATATAAATAATAAGAGAAGGCATTTATTTCAAGTACAGAGGAAAGTCGGGGAGGGGAGGATGGCAGGAAGGGACAGAAGAGAGGAGGCTATTTTTACAAGATTAAGGGTGGGACACAGCCCGTTGAATAAGAAATTAAACGTGATAGGAAAGCATCCATGAGGAAAGTGTGATTATTGTCAGGAAATAGAGACTGTGGAGCATGTATTGCTACAGTGTGGGCAGGATCAGAGGGAAAGAGAGAGGATGAGATTTAGTATGAGGGAGAAGCAGATACAGGAAATTAATTTAAAGAGTATATAGAGTAGAGCGTCATTAGATATAGTCTCAAATATGTTGTTATCTTTTTTAAGAGAAACGGGGTTGGCAGGTAGGATTTTAGTTTATCCCTGTCTCTGGCCCACACTCCAATACGGTAGGTGGCGGTAACGCACCATAACGTTGGATGCCAATCGCCGATAAAGCAAGTGGTACGGAAATGACGTTCCTACAATTTTCAAATCTTCGAGCGCTTTTCAATGGTTTTATCATTGAGTAAAATATACGGTAAGGATGCGTTGTTTTATTGCCAAGTTAGCTAGCTAATTGGCTGTCAGAATAATTACCTATTAAGTATTGTTTTATTCTGTGGGTGTGGAGGTGTAAATGAGAGTTAGCTACCGAACTACTCCCTGCTGCTGCTGATGATGATAGTTAGCTAACGTTAGCTAATTTAGCGGGCAAACTCCACTCCATCGTGAAGAAAGCTAGCTTGCTAGCTAACAATTCCGGAGCTGTAGCCAAGATACTCAAAGAAATGAGTCACTAACGTTAGCGAGCTTATTTAGTTGTGTAGCAGCTAGATAACATATACCTAACGTTAGGACTATCAATATATACTTAACAAAAATAAACGCAACATGTTAAGTGTTGGTCCCATGTTTCATGAGCTGAAATAAAATATCGCAGAAATGTTCCACACCCACAAAAGCTTATTTCTCTCACCTTTTGTGCACAAATTTGTTTACATCCCTGTCACTGAGTGTTTCTCCTTTTTGCTTTCGATAATCCCCCATCCACCTGACAGGTATCGCATATCAAGAAAGCTGATTAAACAGCATGATTATTACACAGGTGCACCTTCTGTTGGGGACAATAAAAGGCCACTTTTGTCTCAAGTTTTGAGAGAGCGTGCAATTGGTAAGCTGACTGCAGGAATGTCCACCAGAACTGTTGTGAGATAATTGAATGTTCATCTCTCTACCATAAGCCATCTCACAACCACAGACCACGTGTTTGGCGTCGTGTGGGTGAGCGGTTTCCCATGGAGGCGGTGGGGTTATGGTATGGGCAGGCATAAGCTACGGAAAACAAACAATTGCATTTTATTGACAGCAATTTGAATGTACAGCGATACCGTGACGTGATGCTGAGGCCCATTGTTGTGCCATTCATCTGTCGCCATCACCTCATGTTTCAGCATGATAATGCACAGCCCCATGTCTCAAGGATCTGTACATGGCCTGCATACTCACCAGACATGTCACCCATTGAGCATGTTTGGGATGCTCTGGATCTATGTGTACAACAGCATGTTCCAGTTCCAATATCCAGCAACTTAGCACAGCCATTGAAGAGGAGTGGGACAACATTCCACAGGCCACAATCAACAGCCTGATCAACTCTATGGGAAGGAGATATGTCGCTCTGCATGAGGCAAATGGTGGTCACACCAGATACTGACTGGTTTTTAAGGTATCTGTGACCAACAGATGCATATCTGTATTCCCAGTCATGTGAAATCCATAGATTAGGGCCTAATGAATTTATTTCAATTGACTGATTTCCTTATATGAACTGTAACCCTGTAAAATCATGTAAATTGTTGCATGTTGCGTTTTATATTTTTGTTCAGTATATTTATAAAAAATACAAATAAATTATTGTAACACAGTATCGTTATGATGGCATAGAAAATTACTAAATGCGGACAGAGTAAGTTGAAGTTATTAGTTTCCTACACCTCAGTTCCACCTCAAGCCCCCTTTCAAATAGCAGTGTTTTCTGTGTTTATCTTGTCATTCGGCAGAATTGTAACTAGCAAGAATCTGGATCGCCTTCATTTGACCTTTCTTCTATTTATATGCAATTTAGCAGGTGTGTGACCTGATGGCAGTGCTGCAGAAATGAAGAGAGCGGCCAATAAATACGAATTCAAAGAGACATCCATACCGTCAGACTTCAATTTCGTTCCAGCTATTTCTAAGCCTCACAATAAGAACGTACCAAGGTAACTTTCATTTAACAAAGGAGAGATAACTAAGGCTATCTAAGTGTATGGGCATTTTAAGACCAACTACCTTTCTCCTCTTTTTTCCAGAAATCAATTTGTAGCCAAAATGCATAAAGGGTAAGATTTCTCTTTCCCATTTTAAAAAGTTGGGAGAAATACATTTGCTAATAAAAATGATCATAGCATTCTGTCTTTTGATAGAGCTTCCACCAGACATGGACAGCAGCAGTCAGAACTGAAGGGCCAGAATAAACTTTTAGGGGAAGCCAATGAGGAACTGCAGAAAAAAATTACAGAAACACAGGTAAGTTCGTTAAAGGGATGATTCACTCCTTTCCAAACATATGTGAGCATAACACTGCACTAGGTTCTCTCTATGGGCTGTTGAATGGAACGTCTTGAGAAGAGTTCAATGTTAGCCCTGAACAGAAGAGAGAACTAGTGCAGTCATTTCATTTCATTTCATTTTGCAGCAAAAAGTTGCCCAGCTGGAGCAACAATACAGTGACCTCCAGGGAACCAATGCAGACATCCAGAAACATCTGAAGGACTGCCATGCGCTACTAGTCGCTGGAAATATTGATCCAGGTAATCATTACATCCTGACTAGACCGGCCACGTTACGTTCGTAGCCAGGTGTTAAAATTGAACTTGGTTCTATTTGAGACGGTTGACGACATGCAAGTCCCGCCTCTACATCTACTCATTGGTTTTCACGAGCATACTAACCCACCTGGGTGATTTGAAATATTAACAAGGCGATATTAATCAAAGAAAACAAATTAAGTTTCCCTTTTCATCTTTGGATTAATTGTCGGGAGTAGAAAACACACAATTTTGTATGGGTTCAAATTCTACAAAAAAAAGGACCATATGCATTTCAGGTAAAATAACAATCCAGTGTTTATCTCCCAGGACAAATTATCTAGCAACAGCAAGTTAGCTAAATGTCCATGAATGTTTCATGTGTGTTTTGACCTGTCCCCAAATTAATATAGCTGGTTCATAGCTGGTATTGTAATGTGTGTGTCATGAACGCGTCTGGTGGGGATAGACAAAATCAACATGCAAACGACAGCGCATGCATGGGCCGGTTTAGTCAAGGTGTTAAGACTACAGGAATTTGTTCTCAGGTGAAAGCTATGAACAACTTACAATTGTTTATTTGGATAGTTTGGTTAGCTTTATAAAGATTGTTTCTTTAACCATTTTTGGTCTCTGTTTTGGGAGAGGGAATTGGAGAAACTGCACTGCAAAATGAGGATCAACAGCGAGAGGTGGTGGTAAGGACTTTCACTCGTTTTTTCAATATTGTTTAACAGTCTTATTACTTAGGGGGCTTTAACACCAAATTAGTTTGGTGCAGTTTTTCTGCTGCGTTTACCCCCCTTAGTTCGGTTAGTTTGGACTGGTGTGAACACTATCCGCACTCTGGAGCGCACTAAACAACGCACCGTGGTTCACTCAAAAAGGGTGATCCGATTCAATTCGTACTGTGGGGCTGTTCGCTGCAGGTGAGAACACAGTTCGGACCAAACATAGGAAAAGAACCAGTCGTGCAGTATTATTGGTTGTTTGACTGCGAGCATGATGAAATGCATGCAGCGTCATAACTTGATATCTCTGAAATGTTTTGTTAGTAGCAGCGCCTTTGAGTGCATCCAATGCAGATTAAGGGAGACGGGGGGGGCTGTGCCGGGGATATAGGCTACTGAATATAGCCTATTCACATTGTAGTTAGAGCGGCTATTGCGATGTTTCCTCCAGCATGCTGTTTGAAGACCAAAATGAAAGTAATATGAAGATTGGGACACACAAGTGAGCTTCATGATAATCATAGATGGATTTAACATGAGCATTTTTGTCCAATAAACAAATTACTTGCATGGACACGTGGTTTTGTTTAGGGATTTTAGTTTGACATTTGGCATTGTGAAACCAACCGGACCAAAAAATAATAAAACATACAATGTAACAAATAATCAAACTCTGATTCGAACGATAGCTCAAAACTGTGTGTGAAAATGCCCTTAGACTCAAATGTTACTGAGGTCCTTGTTTGCAGGAATCTGGCTTTGTAATTGTATGTAGGTATTTTTTTGTTGATGTATACGTCATTTTTTTATCTCCAATGATGCAGAATGTATCCCGAGATCTGTTAAGTGAACTGCGGACATTTGGTGACATGGCAACAGAACAAAGTGCACAACTAACAGTAAGTTCATTATGTTTGATTGACATAAAAGCAGAAGTAATCCTGTGTGTATACCCCGATGGGCAAGTGCCTTTGAGAGCTTAATGTCAACCCCTGGTAAGTATGTTCTATCTAGAGCTCGTTTGAAATGGGAATTGTTTGTTAATTTCCAGGAAGTTCAAAAGACCATGAAGGATCTCACGGAGGCTCGGGAGCATCTCGTGCAGGAGAGGGAGAATTTCTCCTTGGAAGTTGAAGAAATGGAGAAGGCTGTTGAGGATGCAGAGCAGCTTTTATTGGAGTAGAAACTGTGTGCGCTTGCTTTTGCTTTTAATGTAAATGTAATTATAAAATGTTTTGTATATTTCACCTAACTTAAGTTAAATTGTTAATACTTGCAAACAGTTGTTTTCACTCAGTCTTATTTTATTTGTCTGGAAGACTGCAAATTTAAAAGCAGTTGGATTGACAAGTGTTATTTTTGCCTAGATACCAGGGTTTCTAAACCTGTACTGTACTGTCTTTTAAACCAGTCTGTGAAAAGTTCCAAGCTCCACCGCCGGGGGAAGTAGTTTGGTGGTTGGGGTGCTGCGATTTTTTTCGCGAGGGGTGGGAAAGTGGCGCGACAATTAATTAACCCCCAACCACCAGCTGCCTTAACTTCACAAGCAATAATATGTGGAGTGCGAGGGAGCAGTGCTCCTTCACTTTTTTCCAATTTGAAAATACACTAATTATGATCAATTCTAAATAAATTATTACCACAGAAATTCCATGAAAAAAGATAACGACAAACCAAATAAATATGTAGGCTACAGCAGCCTAGAGGTAGGTAAATCGTGGTTTCTTCCCTGTATTCTCTGGCGAATGATGAACTGTAGGCTACATGTGTGCACTGCAGAGACCAATTAGAGGTTTGACAACGTCAGAACGTTGAGAGAATAAATGCTGTCTGCCTTGATGTTTATACAATTCCAGCGACCTGCTCTTGCGCAGTGGAACCCAGAACGATGTGTGAGCACTTGGTTACAGCGACACCATAAACCAGTGGCCACCGTAAAGGCCAAGAGCCTGACCCTCTCTGGAAGTTGCTGTAGGATCTTTAGCCTATATTGACTATTGATTGAGACTCAGGGCCCGAACATGCTGATCACACCGTGTGCGCTTGTTGATTTTGTCCACCCACGCCAGACACGATCAGGACACTCAGGTTGAAATATCAAAACCAACTCAGAACCAACTATATTAATTTGGGGACTGGTCGAAAACCATTAAACATGTATTGCAATTTAGCTTGCTGTTGCTAGCTAGTTTGTCCTGGGATACAAACATTGGGTTGTTATTTTACCTGAAATGCATAAGGTCCTCTACTCCGACTAATCCAGATAAAAGGGTAAACCGAGTTCGTTTCTAGTAGTCTCTCCTCCTTCAGGCTTCTTTTTCTACTTCTTTGGACTTTACATGGCGGTTGGCAACCAACTTTAAGGTTCATTACCACCGACTGGACTGGAGTGTGGACCTCAACTCGTCTTTCAATCACCCACGTGGGTATAGGCTCTTAAAACCAATGAGGAGATGGGAGAGGCGGGACTTAAAGCGCGTAATGCGTCACAAATAGAACCAAGTTATATTGTAGCGCCTGGGCTACGCAGACGCTCGTTGATGTGCACGAGCAGTGTGGGTGCAATGATTGAATAACATTTATGTGTACATTTATTTTGCAACGCTCGCGCACGCGGCGTGGTCAGCATGGGTAGGCTATGTCAGGGTGGTTAATTGGAAATGTGAATTGGGCCAAGTTGGAGGTAGTAATGCATTTAGGTTATAGTATGAGATGCATGAATACACCACACCAAAAGCTTGATTTTATGGCTGTTTTAAAACACATTTTCTTCAATTCTACATAGTAATGACTTATGTTCACTACTAGATCAATTGATTTGATGATTAAATCTATGCAAATAAATTATATGAATTGATAGTTTAACCCTCTGTATATTGTAACCATGTGTTCAAGCTAATCAAATCAAAGTTTATTTAGCGCTGGCCTTTTAGAACCAGGAAGGGGCTCCAATCGTTTAAAATCACTCAAGATCTATTGCCTTTGCCTAATAGTCCTACTCATCACTTATTATTATTATTACAAATAGATTATCACTTTTCACAATGGTGCTCGTTTAGTAAAGTTAGATCAAAGCTGAATCAATGTCTTGCAAGATCACATAACGATTCATTAGTGTTTTGTATAACAGAACCGAATAGCATAGCAGCCCTATAACATTACTGTTACACCAAAAACATATATTTTCTAATGAGATTTTAGGATGGTTAGCTGAAGCTGAATAGTAAAAAAGAATATATATATATATATACCATTCGCCAAAACTCAGAGCCACAATGCAGGATATACTGCATGCTTTGATTGAAACAAAATACAAGAAAGGCTAATAATTAACATAATCTGCTCTAATTAGCTCACAAAACAGTAATTCAAAAAGATTGAAATGCATAGGCTATTCCCATGAAACTGATTGAGATCAATTAAATGATTGGCATGCAGATGATATTTCACCTGTAAAAGGTGAATAATTATCATTCACGATTGACAGTGACCATGGCCTATTTTGAAATGAGGTATGCCTAACTTGGTGATTGAGGGTATTAAAAATACAACATTTTCTTCTTGAGACAAAATGTGTGGGCATAGGCAAACGTTGCAATTGGAGGATGCATTTTATGCATATTTTATAACAGGGCTCTCCAACCCTGTTCCTGGAAAGCTACAAGGATGGTACAGGATGTACATTTTCATGCCAACCCTAATCTAGCGCACCCGATTCTAATAATTAGCTGGTTTATAAAATGAATTGGGTTAGTTACAACTGGGGTTGGAGTGAAACCCTACAGGATGGTCTTTCGGTACAAACTTTGAGGAAATGATGACATCATTTACATATTTTTTGCGCTCCCTCATCTAAAAAATTTGCACTATACCACTGCAAGTAAGATCTGTGGTAGGTCTGTAGCTGGTGGTGTCTGTCTGTATGCTGCATGTGTTCTCTACTGGCTTCATCCATCAGAGCAGAAGCCAAAACAATTATTTATTTATATATATATATATACACTACCAGTCAAAAGTTTGGACGCCTACTCATTCAAGGGTTTTTCTTTATTTTTGCTATTTTTTACATTGTAGAATAATAGTGAAGACATCAAAACTATGAAATAACACACACGGAATCATGTAGTAACCAAAGAAGTGTTAAACAAATCAAAATATATTTTATATTTGAGATTCTTCAAATCACCACCCTTTGCCTTGATGACAGCTTTGCACACTCTTGGAATTATCTCAACCAGCTTCACCTGGAATGCTTTTCCAACAGTCTTGAAGGAGTTCCAACATATGCTGAGCACTTGTTGGCTGCTTTTTGTATATATATATTTTTTAATTCAGATTTTTCAGGGGGTGCTGCAGCACCCTCAGCACCCCTACTTCCTATGGCTATGCCTAGGTTACTTCTAAATTCTCAAAGTGAATACATACTGCAATTCCAACCACAACATCTTAGTTTTGATTTTAAGTCTCAAAATACAACAACTTGCCTAGCTAAAGGGTAAATGTTTGTTTTTGACTGTTATTAATTATATTTGAGGGTCCACGGGTCATGGAAAATACTAACATTATTTCCAATAAACAATGAGCAACCCTGCTGTAAATCAAGCGCATGGCGGAGTTGTGCCTACAAAAAGACGCCATTGCTATTTCTCTCTATTGAATGTTGAGATTGCCAAAAGGCCAGTCTCTTTGGCGATGACAAGGAGTGGAATGTTAGCTGAATAGACATGGTACTCAGGTTAGTGTTTTTTAGCTTTTAGAAACAATGAATTCAAATTGAAACGTTCATTCATTTTCATTCATTCTTATATATTAAACATTTCAATTTATCACATTATATAATTCAGGTCAGTTGCTATTCTTGTTTTGCACAACTTTTATTTTGAAAAACATCAGGAAGAAACGCTGCCTACCGGAAGTTAGAGGCGCATCGTTTACACATACTGCTTGGTGCTAGTTTGTTTCACACTACTCGCAGATTGACTAACTACACTCACCCATCTTTGTCGGGATGAACTAAAGTAAGAAACCATACATGCTTTTACTCTTTTGTTATAAATAATCCCTGTGTTATGACTGTTAGCAGAACATACTGCAACAACTAAATAGATTGCCCCTCCTAGCCTTGCTAGCTTAGCTTGCCATTGGCATTGCTAGCAATGTGTACATGTAACATTAGCTACCCACTGTGAAAAAAAAAAAAAGATCTGAATGTGTTGCGCATAGGATGCTAGATTATATTGACAAGACAGTCAAATGACCGCTCTAACAATGGAAATACATGGCCTCAGAAAGGAGGCGAGATCAGGTAGGACTATTCTAGCCAATTAAAGGGCAGATACGCGCCATAGAGATAGATAAGACTCATCTTTGTATCTGTGCCATCATAGCGTCTGTGACAACATGGGAAGCGCCACTGAAGCCATCTCCAATTTAAAGTAGTCCATTTTCTTCTTCATTGGCTGATTGCTCTCAACTCAAGGCAATCCCCACCCAGTTGACTACTTTAAAATGGTGGAAGCCCTTAATGGGAATGTCCATGCTAAAACGGGTTATATCCATGATGACTCTGACAAGACACAACTCCAATATAAAGTAGTTTTTTCAAAGTTGCCGAAATGCCACGTGTGTCCACTTATATCAGTGCATTCATAACAACCTAACCATTACAAAACTTAGATTCCATTTGCAATTATATTTTGGTTGACCAAATTCGACACTCACTGACCTCTATACAAAAATTCCTCACTTTGTGGGCTTATTTTTGTGGACAGATTTATGGTGGAGTAAAACTCTCGCTTCGCCTGTTCCTCTCTGGTGCTACTGGTTTCTAGCTACCTGGGATGTGTTATGAAGGCAAACGTGCCTTCTAGCCTAACTCTCGAGAACCCAAGGGGGTTTACAGCCAGTCCCCGTCTTGGGTTCTCAGCTGAAGGTATGGATCACAGCTGGCTCCATGTGAACTACAATCCTGACACTCTGTTTTAATATTTAGAAACCTTAATAATTGTCGCTTGCGAGACGTTTTTGGAAAAATAAATAAATAAATGTGGGTGTGGATCAGAAAACCAGTCAGTATCTGGTATGACCACCATTTGCCTCATGCAGTGCGACACATCTCCATCGCATAGAGTTGATCAGGCTGTTGATTGTGGCCTGTGGAATGTTGTCAGCTCATCTTCAATGGCTGTGCAAAGTTGCTGGATATTGGCGGAAACTGGAACACGCTGTCGTACACATCAATCCAGAGCATCCCAAACATGCTCAATGGGTGACATGTCTGGTGAGTATGCAGGCCATGGAAGAACTGGGACATTTTCAGCTTCCAGGAATTGTGTACAGATCCTTGTGACATGGGGCCGTGCATTGTCATGATGAAACATGTGGTGATGGCGGCGAATGAATAGCATGACAATGGGCCTCAGGATCTCGTCACGGTGTCTCTGTGCATTGAAATTGCCATCGATAAAATGCAATTGT